ATATATATATATATATATATATATATATATATATATATATATATATATATATATATATATATATATATATATATATATATATATATTATATTCATATATCTATTTATATATCTACAAACAACTGTTTATGAGTGTTTTCAAGAAATGTGCTACTATGTTTAAAGAGATGAAATGTTGAATTGTTCATTTCTCAGGGTTTGTAAGGTAAAAACAATGATAGGTCTGTGATAGTTTTTTTCAGATGTAAATGAAATGTGACTGACCTGGGAACTGGTATGTGTATCCTGGAGTGATTCCAGTGTAGCCACGGCTAGCATATGTTGCCGCCTGAAATCCTGGGTAACCTAAGAATTATTAGAATTTCAAATTATTCATTATTTTATGCAAGGCACGTTTAATTACAGACTATACATTATGCATAAAGTAGAAGTCATTTACATCTAAAAATGATAAATAGTATATATCAACAAATATGTAAGAAATAAAAATAAAATAAAAAAACACTTAAAATATCTGCTGTAAATCAAATGTCATTTTACCAGGTTTATAATTTGATACAGTTGAAGTCAGAATTATTTGCCCCCCTGTTTATTTTTCCCTCAATTTCTGTTTAACGGAGAGAAGATTTTGTTCAGCACATTTCTAAACATAATAGTTTTAGTAACTCATTTCTAATAACTGATTTATTTTATCTTTGTCATGATGACATAAATAATATTTGATTTATACAGCTTAAAGTGACATTTAAAGGCTTAACTAGGTTAATTAGGTTAACTAGGCAGGTTAGGGTAATTAGGGAAGTTATTGTATAACGATGGTTTGTTCTGTAGACTATCAAATACAAATATAGCTTAAAGGGGCTAATAATTTTGTCCCTAAAATGGTGTTTAAAAAATTAAAAACTGCTTTTATGCTAGCCGAAATAAAACAAATCAGACTTTCTTCAGAAGAAAAAATATTATCAGACATACTGTGAAAATTTCCTTGCTCTGTTAAACATCATTTAGGAAATATTTAAAAAAGAAAAATCAAAAGGAGGCTAATAATTCTGACTTCAACTGTAAGTATGTATGTATTAGTGTGTATTTCCTGTAAATTTGTCATACCCACAATATAGCCGGTTCAATATAGTCTGCATCTTGCCAGTATGCTGTGTATTGTAGTTCTTGTTTCTATCTTTTAACATGTTTACACTAAAATGTAATATTTTCTTGCAAAACCAAATCATCTGTTGCTCTGATTTACATCGAACACCCTCAAGAGTGCAGTTCTCCCTAGTAAACAGCAGGCGGCGCCAGACTCTCATCAGTCTAAACTCAACCTGCTGGCTTTATTTATGACTGGAGATTATTCATTTATTTATTTGCCAGCTGTAAACTCACCCAGCATGCCGATCCCCAGCATGAAGGCGTCCATACCGTAGGGCATCACCCTGGAGCGTCCCCGCGCCGTGCCCGTCGGTGACATCACTTCCTTCGGCTGAGCTTTTTTACACTCCACCTGCAGATCAAACCAATGTCAAGTCACTTCCACTGACCTTATTCTACAGTAAGTGTGCTCATTTTTGCCTCTGTTCTAAGACTTCCAATTCAGTCGCCTATGGGAAAAATGACTATGAATAATAAACGGCAGAAAACGGTCAAACTTTGTGCTCTAAAAACAAGCGTTTGCATGATTATATATAAAACGCAAGAATAATATAATAGAGATAATGTAAATTTGCAAGACCAAGCAGCAAAACGAGCAGTTTTAACCTCTAAAAATCAATGGAAGTGAATGAGAGCAGAAGTTAAAAAGATTCAAATGGCTGCACCCGCTCTTATGTCAAGAATAAGGTCAATAGCATAAGCAGATTTACAATAATAAACAGGCAAATAACAGAATCAACGATACAAACTTAACCAAACCAATTCAAATGTGGAAGTCAGATCCATTCATTTATTTTTTCATTTTCCTTCGGCTTAGTCCCTTTATTCTTTAGGGGTTGCCGCAGCGGAATGAACCGACAACTTATCCAGCATATGTTTTACAAAGTGGATGCCCTTCCAGCTGCAACCCAGTACTGGGAAACATCCATACACACTCATTCACACACAGACACACACACTCGTACACTACAGCCAATTTAGCTTATTCAATTGACCTGTACCGCATGTCTTTGGACTGTGGGGGAAACCGGAGCACCCGGAGGAAACCCACAGGAACGCAGGGAGAACATGCAAACTCCACACAGAAATGCTAATCTATAAAAGAGTTTTATTTTCTTGTGAGATCAGGCTGAATTTGTTTATGTGTAATTATATTAAGTCAGCTCTTCAAAAGACAACAGTGCCATTGTTTTGTTTACTTTTTTTGCTCGACAGTCTTCCCCATCACACTTGTTGGTCTTGTTTCTAGTCCAAATATGTTAGACTTCTTAAATCAAGAAGCATTTTCTAGTCATGCAAAATAATATTGTCTTGTTTTATGAAATATTGTGCCAAATCTTTGTGAGTTTTTCCATAAAACAAGCAAAATAATCTGCCAATGCGGTAAGAAAAATAATTGCAAGTCAAAATGAAAAACTAGATTATTTTGCTTACCCTATTGGCAGATTATTTAGCTTGTTTTATGGGAAAAAAAACTCATTTAATTTGTGCATATTATTTATCAAAACCAAACAATATTTTTGCTTATGTATAAAATGCTTCTTGATTTAAAAGTGTTTAGATATTTAGACAAGAAACAAGACCAAAAATCAAAGTAAAAAAAGCATTGTTGCAGAGCAGTCGATGACGTTTATGACATGACTTGAATATTTAGTGTCTTTAAAGCATTTAAAAAAGTACATAAACATATCAGAAAACTCCTGCAGTCTTTCATAGCAGAATAAACTTACAATAGTCCCTTTCACACAGTGATACCGGTAAATTTCTGGAAAATTTCCGGAACGACTTTACCGGTATATTCAAAAAAGCGCTGTTCACACAGGCGAGGACGTTACGGAAATTTTCCGGAAAAGAGCATTCACACATCCATTCCAAAATACCGGTAAATTCTGACATCATTCACCACAAATGAGCTTTAAACGGCTGCGCTTGTATTTGTAAACATTTGACTAAATTACAAACTCTGTGGATGATCAATATTGTGAACAACTTTCGCAGGATCACTTTCGCATGTCGAGATGTTCATAATATGTACGTGTGCTGGCGCTCACAGGCTGTTTCACAGGCACACGAACGTAAACAAACAACGGCTTATCATAAGCATCTCATCGATGATTATTTACACAGTTGGCATTAAGAAGAACATATAAAAGTGATCTGACTAACTTCTAGCAGCTAAATGTGTCTGGAAAAATATTCAAAGGCTTTTATCCTCACAAACCGCGCGGACGTAAATGCGTCTGACTGTTGTGATTGGCTAAAGCAGACGTCTCACGTCAGCACG